TTTTTTGCAATAAATATTTGAATTGAAAATTAAATCATTTGTGTTTGTTTATTTTTACGAAATGATACCTAAAGGACCCTCGATCATATATATATATATTATATGATATAGATATAGATGGATATAGATGGAATGGATTTTTTGGGGGCAAATCTGAAATCACTACATGAACCACATTGAACCACTCGATGCCACCCAAAAAATCCACCCAGCTTCTTCAACGTGACCCTTTTTGGAGTCCCCGGGCCCTAAATGTCCTTTTTTATTACAGGTCACTTGGAAGAACGCCACAACCCACATGGCAACCCACTCATAACATCTCATGACATTCCATATAGAATGTTACCATACCTAGTGATGTGGAGGATGTTAACCATCCTTTCCCAGAATTGGTTTAAGTGTTTCTTTGGGGGTGAAAACCATGGGTGTCCTGTAGATGTTTTTTCTAAAGCCACTGTCTCCTTCCACGGATCCTGGATCCACTGAGGATCCCCTGGGCACCTTTGCGCCCGACCTGGCGCGGCGGCGGCTGCAGCGCACGGGCAGTGGCGCCCTCGCGGAGGAGGGCGAGCACCCCGTGGAGGGCGAAGCGGAGGATGAGGCGCCGACAGAGCTGGGTGTAGTAGAGGTGTTCAGGAAGTGGGAGATGAGTGAGCCAATTTTTGCTGGGACAGGTGGTGGAAGACCAACAAACCAAAGGTTGGGCGCGCAGGCGCAGGGGTCTAGCAAGCTCGATTGCCACGCGTTCGCTGAGTTCAGATGAACTGCCCAGAGGGAACCCCTGTTGAAGGTCTACCCCTCCGCGCAGAAGGGGCCGGAGGGGTCGGGTTCGTCCAGACTGGGCCGGAGGGGTCGGGTTGCCATCCAAACGCCCATCCAAACGGCACCCCACTTCTGCTGCCCCGTGCGGCCTCCTCCGGTGCGACACCCCAGGAGGACGACGACTTCGACAACAACGTGGATGGCTTTGCCTCCGAGGGGCCCCGCGAGGCGGGAGCGTGGCCGCGTGCGCCGAAGTGTGCTTTGGCCTCCTACGCCCTGGGCTGCTTGGAGATGAGATTTGGGGATTGGTTGTGCGAATCAGGGACACGCCCGGTCGGTCTCCTTTCTTCATGTCTTGCCGCAACAGGCCGTGCTACTGTATAGGTTTGCTTCACACATTGCAGCAGCAGAAGAAAGAGGAGTCGTGGTAGTAGCAGCTTGCTGGAAACGACAGAGATCAATGCGCAACACCTCCAACAAACAATAACAACAAGTGGAGTCCAAAGCATACTAAAATGTTCTGCTTTAGGCTCCACCTTTTTTTGCTGTTTGTTTATCCCTTCGTGGCCTGAGGCAAAGTGCTGAATTGCATTTTCAAGCAAGTTTGGTGTTGCAGATGGTTCACACCGCACTTGTCACTCCGAAACCTCTTCAAGGACTTCCCCAAGATGATGTCCAAAGTGACCAGTTTTCACCTCGTCTGGACAGGACAAGTCCCTTTTCTAGCTCTCCAGCCGCGTTCCGTCGCCGATGTCTGAAACGGCTGAGGTAGTCTTCACCGGAAGATCCCGCGCATGGGGGCTCGCGTGGACTTGGAAGCGGAGTCGCTCATTGCACAGGCGACGAACCCAGATGAATTGGCCCAGATGTACGAGGCGCACAGAGCGGCAAGAACAGAGAGGGTGTCTTTGGGGAATTCTGTTCTTTTTTGGAGATGTTAAGGCCAAAGTCTCATTGACTGCACACACTGTTTTGAGCAAAACCCCTGTTGTAAACCATCCGCCGATCCGTCGCTGCCAGGGTTGGACCTCCTGGATTTGAACGAACGAGCTTTCAATGCTGCGACGGAATGACTTGACCTTTCCTCTCATCTGAATGCGGCACCGCCCTGATGATGCTCCTCCCATCGCCGATGGAAGACCACGACCGGTGACGAGACGCCGTCGCCGGTCGAAGACCGCGACCGGTGGCGCACAGATCGTCGCGGAGCTGCGGTGGCGCACAGATCGTCGCAGATCTATCGATGAACCGCGAGCTGCGGTGGGCGCCGGGGAGAGCCAATCTGAGGAAGATTGACCCAGCTTTGGTGGAGATGGTCTCATTGAGAAGCCATTTCGGAAGCCATTTCTGACCGACCTTGAGCCACTTGGTCCCAAGTTGATGTGATTTGCTTCAACTCATTCAGATTAGGTAGCCCTGTGAGTTTCTTTGATTGTTCATCGTGTGGTGCCCGAAAAACCTGGGACAGCGAGCTGGCGGCAGCTGCCGGCTCGTCTTCCGGTATGGCTCTGAGCTCGTGAAGACGGCCTGAAACGGCCTGAAACGGCTGCACCTTTGGGAAAAAATGCTGGCTATGCCGCACAGCCTGATGGGCAGATCCGGGAAGATCCCGCGAGGGATTGTTTGTTTGTTTTTTTTTGTGGTGCTTCTTTTTTTGGGGAGCTCGTTCGATAGGGCTTTCGGTTTTTCGATCTTTCTCAAGCACCATCACTAATGCAGCTATCTTCCCCACAGGCAGACGGGGGAGTCACGACGAGCGCCGCCCTCCGGCTGGCTCAAGTGGTAGCCGGGTAGCAAGGAAAGAGCAGCATGATCTGCAGAATATTGCAGAATGAATACCATTTTTGTATGGTTTTATGCTTGAAGCACAGCACACCGCCCGTTCCTGGCAATCGTTGCGGTCGGTCTAAGGTCTAATCAAACAGACACCAAGTGTCCTTTGCGCCAGCTACTGGGTACGGTATGTCGATGCTAGCAGACCCTTAGGGCCGAGGTCTGGTGAAGGTTGGACACATGAGCACCTGAACCGCGGGCTGTCAGTACTTATGCAGTCCTTCTATGCACCGGCAGGCACGTGGGATTTGGGATTCATGAGGCAGTGGCCACTTCTGAGTTGCAAGGGCTGAATGAACGGGGCCAAAGGTCGAGAGAAGTCCGGCCAGATTGGATGTTCAGAAGGAGATGTCAGACGAAAAACCATCTGTATCGGATGGACAGGGCATGCAGCTTGGAGAAAAACACGCATTCTATGGACGTTGATGTCCCATAGCCACGCGAATTGCCCTTCTTGGAAGTTGCTTAGAGCTTGCTGGCTGGCCATTCTGTGTCAGCTTCGCCCTTTTACTTGGGAACCTTTGCTGTGTACAGGCAGGAGTGGGACTTCTCCCTGAAACAGCGCGATCCCCATGGAATCGAACATGGGAAGCTTCTTCTCATGGAAGAAGCTTCCCAGCGACCCTTTTGGGAGCATGATTCCAACACTCAACATAGCAAGGACGCTACGATCGGGGCTCCTGGCCTTGCTACCAACCCATTTTGCCTTGAAGAACACCAATTGCAGGGCCCTGCAGGCGACCGAAAGTGATCCCATTGGCAGAAAACTGTCCCTTCCCGAAGTGATCCAGGTCGCGCGCCGCGGACGGAGAGCCGTGGCAGGCACACGGAGCGCGGGTCCGCGCCGGTCGAGCGCCGAGGCTTTGGCTAAGCCAAGAGGGGTACTGGTAGGACGAAGAAAAACAACGCCCGAAATTCATGGACGTAGCGATGCACTTGTTACTATTATCACCAAGCCGTTTTCCGTTTTCCCTCACCTGTCAGGTGTCGGATCCTCCTCCTCCTCCTCCTCCTCTTCACTTCATCCTCACTCCTTCTCCTCAGTTTCGTTGGCCATGATGGTGCTCGTCTACGTAAGCAGCCGCCGCGGCGGACATCCAGGAAGAAGATATGGAATGAAGGCGTCCTCGGATTCCCTTCCCAGTCGTTCCAACGCACTGCACGCGGCTTCCCCCTGGCTGACCTGCGCAGGCAAAGCTTCTACAGATGAGCTGACCATGCGCCAGGTCGGCTGACCCAAGGAGTGATGCGGATGCGGAGTGCAGCCACGTCTGCAAAGGGGGAGGTGGTTTTCGTCGACCCGCCCGGCTGTCTCTCTGCAAGATTCGCCTGTGGGAGGCTCGGATTTAGGGAGATTCACCATGCCATCTGAATGATGCGTGTGGAGGGTGGGCAAGAGGGGGTGCCGTTCTACGGTACAGATGGTACAGAGGGTTCTGAAGAACAGACCATCTAATGCTGATCAAGGATCGCCATTCTGGGGTGCTTGAACCACCATTTGCTGCCCGTTTGAAGTCTCCCAGCTCACCGACCCGCAGGCTCCGCAGGCTCCGCAGGCTCCAGCGAAGCTGCAGGGAGGCCAAGGAAGATGACTCCTGGTGGCCTGCCGATGGTGAGGTCGCCTGCCGATGAGTTCCAAGCGATTTGAAGGATGAATGAGTCTTGGACCTTGGAGAGCCCTTCAACACTCTTGAATCTGAGGGATGGGGCTTGGCATTTGCTAGCATCCCCGGTAATTAGTGGCAACCCAGCTTCAGCTTCAGATCTTAGACTTTTGCGAAGCTGCTTCCGGAAAGAGATCAAACCCTTGGCGCAAGTCGATGGCGGTTTCACCAGCCGCCAGACTTGCCGACCTGCGCATGAGGCAGCCCTGCTACGCCTTGCGAGGGGGTCAGGCGGGGGTTCAGGGGAGGCGAACAGAAGGCGAGTTGTGCCACGACCAATACTTCCGAGACACTCCATGTATGCCGTATATGCCTACATTGGGGTGGTTTTGGGGGTCAATGTAGGCATATATGGCATACATGGAGTGTCTGGGGTTGAATGGGGGCTATCATGACGTACCACTACTTTCTCTCTACTTTCATCAACTTTCATCCATGATCCGGACGCATCCAAGCTTGGTCCGTTGAACTGCAGTCCTTGATGTCGACTACCACTTGGTACCGAACAGCTTCAGTGCAACTGAGACCTCTGTCTGTTTCACAGAGGGTGGTGTTCATTTCAGAGACCTGCTCGTAGATGGTTTGTCTGTTTAACGTAGGATCCAGCCCCTCTCAGATCCAACCGCCCAACGACCTCCCAAACGACCCAACGCCTCCTGGCGCGGCCGTGCCAGGCACCGCCCTGCCAGGCACCGCCCCGCGCGAGGCGACGCGACAGGTGTGGAGGCCCGGAAAACGCGACGTTCGCACGAAGGACACAGGAGCCAACGTCGCAGACGACCTCCCATACCAACTCGCCCAAAGAACTTTCCATTCTTCGATGTCTCCCAGACGGCCCGGGCGCCGCTGACAGCGTCCCTTTCGGTGCTCGACTGAGATCCTCACATCGTGTGGCGCGCTGGATGGGTGGAGGGCCAACGACCTGGCCAATGGCGTGTGGGCCTGCGGGAAGCTGCAGGTGAAGGCGCGCTCGCTGACATCGAGAGGGTTGAGGATGGTTGAGGTGGACGTCAAGAGAGAGAGAGAGAGAGAGGGGGACGGATCTTTCAAGTGAGATCCCCTGAGTTTAGGGAGGACGAAGTATGTGAGGGCGAGTTCTCAAGTGAGTGAGGTACCAGGTAGCAGTACCAGTGCGCCAAAAAGCGGCGCTTCTGCGCTCCAAGCGGTGTTCTCTGCCTCGCCCATGTTTATGTGCAGTGAGAACCCCCCCCCCCGGCTGGGACTGGGTGGTTTCGGACGTTGGCGTGAAGTCCTTCGAACCCGGCTTCATCCCTGTGAACCCGGCGAACCTGCACCGATCACGGAGAGGATCTGGCCTTTTTGGAAGCTTTGCAGCTGCGAGGCAGCCAGATCTGGCCAGTCGGGGTGCCCCTGTGCTTCTTCTTTGTTGTGGCGGAGGAATGATGGGCACAGGGGTTCGTCCGGAATTGGCACACAAGTGCTTCAAGCTGTTTCCACCAGATGGGTCAGGAGTTCATTGTAGTTCTCGTTCTTGCAGGTTTCCACTTGCCAAGTGGAAACCTGTGGCAAGCGAAAACTTGGCAACCTGGACCTGGATGCAAAGATAAGCCCAAGGAGGTTTCCACCTGGTAGCGATTGCATTGGGTCTTTTGAACAAAGCTTGAAACTCGACCGAAACTTGAGAGGCCCCCCATCTTCCACACCTCTCAGCACCCTTCGGTCACCAAGGCTTGCGATACTTAGGTGGCCCAGAACAACACCCGAGGGGGGCGTTGGCCTCAGCGCCGCACCCAGTCCTCCCCCACCCATGGGCCGTCTCCCCGTGCACGAACGCCTCACGGTACAGGAGTTCCGGGCGATGGACTTGGTCCGGGAAACCCAGGCTCCCTACTGAAACTAGGTGTGGTCTGTCTTAGGTGTTTGGTTCAGTAGTGGCTCCATTGGAGTAAGAAACTCCGCTGAGCTGTGGAAGTCAGAGATGGAAGATAGAGCCTAGCGAAACTAGGTGGCTGGTTTTGCCTTTGCAAGCCTGCCAATCTCAAGCTTCCGTGCTAGTCTTTCGGGGCTGTGACAGTCACGATATGGGTAGGGGTGACAGCTGGACCTTCAAAGCGCTGCTTTCACCATCTTTCGGCTCCTAGCGCACATGCCAATACTCCAACTTCTCCCACTTGGAGGAGTTGCGCGTCTTTTTTCGCGAAGATTTGTCTTTGGGATTCTTTGGGGTACTGCAGGCCGATGGCTTCCCGCAAGGTATTGAGTGACACTTCCTTCATTGGGATGTTGGAGTTTTGGTGCGGCGCACGCAGTTGCAGATGAGGCAATGGCCCACCCTCCTGCCAATTCTCTTCAGGGGGATGTGGGTGAGAGACCACTGTTCTTGGCTATGTGTACTAGGAGGTGCAACTGGGCCCTACTTCGAATGATACGTTTTGCCCCTTAGATGAAGCAGAGTCTGAGGCCAAAACTGCATGGAGCTTCGCCAGGCCTGGCTGCCATCGGTTGGACATGGTCGATGTGCCCAGAGCCCCAGAGCTCATCCCTGGCACAAGTGACCTATGGATGACCTGCCAAAATCTTTCT